TTCCCCAGTAACTTGTCCTTGAACTTAAATTTTGGAGTCAAAGCATTTTTAAAATATATAAATTGAATTAATCCAGCAGTATTTCCTTTAACAGTTGTTTCCTCAGCAGTCAAACGATATAAAGACAATATAATGCCATACAGTATACAGATTCTCTCTGAGCTTTTCATTTTTACGTGGCTTTATTATTACACTCTTTCTTCTATTTTTTTCATTTTTTTGAGACAGGGTTTCTCTGTGTAACTTTTATCTGTCCTGGAATTCACTCTGCATACCAGGTTTACTTTGAAATCACAAGAGATTTGCTTGCCTCTGTCTCCCAAATGCTGGGATTAAAGGCGTATGCCACCACACCCAGCTCCTCACTCTCTTTTTAAAACCATTTTATTTCTTTTCTCTCCCAAGCCTACGTATATTTTAAAACACACTGTAAACCTTTAGAGGTTTTTCTTAATATGAATTTGTCTTTACTGTAAATCTTTATCTTTGTCTGGCCACAAGTCTTTATCTGGTAAACAACATTGCTAAAATGAAATTCATAGTTGTTTCTGCGGCAGTTTATCAAACATGGCGGCGACTATTTTACCGCCAGCAGTGAGAGCTATGCTTACTGCCTTGGTCTGCACTGCCATCCAGCCTCATGCTGCCGGCTTGGAGATGTGGTCACTGCCATTGCATGCTCTTGTACACACCAATAAATTGTTAGCAGTGCTTCTTAAAAGCCGTGCTGGTCCCCCCCCCCCCCACTTCTTATGCTAAGTCAGGAACCTTCCCTTAAAGGAGCCGCGCAATCTGCTTGTCTCTGGCAAAGCAGAGTCCAACTGAGAAAAATGCTGCTACCAAGAAACCTTGTTAGTCTTTGTTCTTTTGTTTCTAAAACCCTTTTTTAAGCTTTTGTTAACTTTTAAGTGGAAGTTCTTATTAGCCACGTGGGCGCCATTTGTAACGAGTATGGTTTTTCCTCCCGCCGCCAGTCTTGTCCCGCCGCCGCCACGCCAGCCCCAAATAACACACTGAGACTCTGTATTTGATATAATTCTGTTGGCCAGGTACTGTTTCTTATCGGCTAGCTCTGTCTTAAGTATTAACCCATTTCTGCTGATCTATGTATTTCTCTTACCTGGGAGCTGGCTGGCATACTGCTTTCTCCCGACTCTCCATCTTGGCTCTCCTTCTTACTACTTCCTCTTTCCTCCTTGTCTCCTAGTCCCACCTATCTTTCTTTCCTATTGGCCAACAGTGCTTTATTCATTAAACCAGTATGAGAAACATATACAGAATGACATCTCCCATCAACAGGACCTTTCACAAATGATTCCTTTATGTGCTAGGGTAGACAAGCCCTGATGTTCCTGAATTAGATTTCATTTCCAATCTTCAGCTCCAGAAAGCAGTCAGATGGTTGCCAGAGAGCAGGGTTCAGGTCAATGATTAATGAAAAGGAACATAGAGAAACATTTGTTGTTTAGTCAGAAAATAAATATTCTCATACCTGAAGTGGGTGTGGTACATGCCTCATACATTTACTCTAATATACTAAGCTATGGAAGTAAATGAGTGAATTTGACTGCATACTTATCATATGACAATAGAGCTCTACAAAAATAAGACTGTTGCTGAAATCTAAAAAGTCTCCTGCTAACACTCTTGATGATGTGCCCTATTTGCTAAAATATGCTTTCCTTAAATAGATGGAGTTCAGTTGAAGAGAGGGAGGAGAGATCATATGAGCAAGGGTACCAAGATCATGATGGGGAAAACCAAAGAGACAGGCAACCCAAGCTATTGGTAACTCACAGACTCTGGACTGATACCTAGGGAACCAGCATGGGACTGAACTAGGCCCTCTGAATGTGGGTGATGGTTATGTGGCTTGATGTGGGGGGGGGGGGGTTCTTGGCAGTGGGACCAGAATTTATCCTGGGTACAGGAACTGGCTTCTTGGAGCCCATTACCTATGGCAGGATACCTTGCCCAGCATGATTCTGGAGGTAGGGATTGGCCCTGCCTCAAATTCGTATGCCAGACTTTGGTGACTCCCCAAAAGAAGCCTTATCCCCTCTGAGGAGTGGATAGGGTGAGATGGTGAGAGGTGGGGAGACAGGAGAAGGGTAGGGAGGGGAAACTGGGGTTGGAATATAAAATGAAAAACAAATTTTAATTAAATTTATAAATAAGTAAATATGTTTGCCTATCAACCAGCAATATGTTCAGTCTCCAGCAGAAGTATCAGCTCAAAGGCTGTTTGGTGCCCTGTAAAACTTTATCTTTGTCTGCCCTCTGGTGTCGAAGGTGAGCAATGCTCACTTTGTAATATCCTGTGGTTGGTCTTCAATGGAGTGGATGAAAAAAGGACTTGTCCAAATTAACAAAATCAGAAACAAAAAGGAGGATGTAACAACAAATACTGGGGAAATCCAGAGAACCACAGATCATTCTTCAAAAACCTGTATTTCACAAAATTGGAAAACTTTAGGGAGACGGACAATTTTCTAGATAAGTACCATATACCAAAATTAAACCAAGAACAGATAAACAACTTAAATACACCTATAACTTCTAAGGAAATATAAACAGCTATCAATAGTCTCCCAATCAAAAATAAGTCCAGGCCCAGATGGTTTCAATGCAGAATTCTACCAGATGCTCAAAGAAAGTCTAATACCAATACTCCTTAAATTATTCCACACAATAGAAACAGAAAGAACATTGCCAAACTCTTTTTATGAGGCTAAAGTTACCCTGATACCACACAAAAGACTCAACTAATCTCCCTCATGAACATAGCTGCAAAAATATTCAATAAAATACTGGCAAACAGAATCCAAAAACACATAAGAAAAATCATTCATCATGACCAAGTAAGATTCATCCCAGAGATGCAGGGGATGGTTCAACATATGAAAATCCATCAATGTAATCCACCTTATAAACAAACAAACAAACAAACAAAAAACCACAAATGGCCATCTCATCAGATGCTTTAAAAGACTCCAACAAAACTCAACACCCTTCATGATAAAGGTCTTGGAGAGAATAGGGATACAAGGGACATACCTAAACATAATAAAGGCAATATACAGTAATACAACAGCCAACACCAAACTAAATGGAGAAACTCAAAGCAATTCCACTGAAATCAGGAACAAGACAAGGCTGTCCACTCTATCCATAGAGTACTCAAAGTCCCAGACAGAGCAATAAGACAACAAAAAAGAGATCAGGGGGATACATATTAGAAAAGAAGTCAAATTCTCTCTATTTGCTTATGCTATGATAATTTACATAAATGACCCCAAAACTTATACCGGAGAACTACTACAACTGACAATTACACCTTTAGTAATGTAGCAGAATACAAGATTAACTCAAAAATAAAGTAGCCCTCCTATATACAGATGATAAATAGTCTGAGAAAGAAATCAGAAAAACATCACCCTTCACAATAGCCACAAATAACAAAATACCTTGGGGTAACTTTAACCAAACAAATGAAAGACCTATATAACAAGAACTTCAAGTCTCTAAAAGAAAGAAATTAAAGAAGACATCAGAAAATGGAAAGGTCTCCCATGCTCTTGGATCGGTAGAATCAACATAGTAAAAATGATAATCCTACCAAAAGTAATCTACAGACTCAATGCAAACCCCATCAAAATCCCAGCACAATTCTTCACAGACCTGGGAAGAACAATCTCAATTTCATATGGAAACACACACACACAAAAAAAAAAAACAAAACAAAAAAACAGGATAACCAAAACAATCCTGTACAATAAAGGATCATCTGGGAGCATCACCATCCCTGACTTCAAACTCTACTATAGAGCTATAGTAATGAAAACAGTTTGGTATTGGCATAAAAACAGGCAGGTGAAACAGTGGAAACAAGTCAAAGACCCTGATACCAACCTATACCTATGAATACCTAATTTTTTACAAAGAAGCTAAAAATATAACTTGGAAAAAAAGAAAGCTTGTTCAACAAATGGTGCTTGTATAACTAGCTATCAATAAGCAAAGAATACAAATAGATCCATATCTATCACCATGCACAAAACTCAAGTCCAGATGGATCAAAAACCTCAATATAAATCCAGCCACACTGAACCTCACGGAAAATACATTTGAATGCATAGGCACAGGAGACCATTTCCTAAATAGAACACCAGTAGCACAGACACTGAGAGCAACAACTAATAAATGGGACCTCCTAAAAACTGAGAAGCTTCTGTAAAGCAAAGAGCATGGTCAACAAGACAAAATGGCTCTCTACAGAATGGCAAAAGATCTTCACCAACCCCACATCTGACAGGGAGCTGATCTCCAAAATATATAAACAATTCAAGAAACCAGACATCAAACTACCAAAAAAAAATCATTTTTGCTTTCAGGATTCATAGTTTACAGGATCCACCTTCAAGTTTACACTATCTTATCTATTTTAGACCCTGGTCTGAAAGGCTACATCGGCCCTCCCCAACTCATACGTGAATATGACGTTTTCAATGAAACCTCTCCCCCATAGGCCTTTCTTCCCCGGTGTAATTCAAGTTCATGATCGCTTGTGTACATAAAAAGTATGTCATTAGTGCCTGCCAATCCCTGCTCGGAGAAGCGAGCATGTCTTTTGTGGATCTATGGTTCCGAGATAGCCAGAGAGCGAGCTTGAGCATCCGAATGCCCTTTCGGCCTAGCCTCCTGAAGGGGGTGGCAGAGGTTCAATCTCAAGGGGCCCTTATCAATCGGTTGGCTTCTGCACTCCAGCTCCCGGCAGGATCGCTCGGCCAAGAACCGCGGGAGTCTCTTCTGATACCCTGGCTAGAACTACCAGCATTTTTCCGGCTCAGGGTAGCAGGCAAGACAAATAGAATGCTTCTTGTAAACTATCCGCCGAATCCCGAGAGCCTGGCATGTCCCTTGTGCGACCCCGTAGTCACACCACGCCCTCTACTCATTCCCAGGAAGTGCGCGGTAGCGGCGGAAGTACACAACACCCGGAGGTTTTGGGAACCGCGGTTCCGGGATGGTGGGCGGCGGTGGTGGCGGCGGTGGTCGCGCCGGGCTTCTAGAGAACGCCAACCCCCTCATCTACGAGCGCTCGGGGGAGCGGCCAGTGACGGCGGGCGAGGAAGACGAACAGGTGCCCGACAGCATCGACGCCCGCGAGATCTTCGATATCCGCCGCGGCTGGGAACTGGCGGGATGGTGGGGGCCTGGGGTACCGGGAAGAAGTGGTGTGCAACACCGTGGTGGAGGGGTGTCCGGGATAGGCATGTCTGCGGAGGTTTTGAGTGGGCCAGAACTTAAGAGTTCCTTTTCCTTCACTTGGCACATCTTATTCGCTCCATTAATGACCCGGAACATCCACTGACACTAGAGGAATTAAACGTAGTAGAACAAGTTCGGATTCAGGTGAGTCACCTATCGTGTCAGAGTGTGATAGCTTGTCCAAAGTACTTTAAACGGTTCTATTATGCTTTAGAGGCTGGCGTTCACCATTCACAAGCACCTAAGAGGAGCTTGGGGCGGGAGGTTGCTTTTACCAGTTTATGGATGTTAAAGCTGAAGCCCATAAAAAGTTAAATGCCCAAATTAATAGATTAAAGAGAGGGTTTCGGTGCTACGGGCGGTCGTATGATCTTTATAATCTCCCTTGCCAACACAGGTTAGCGACCCTGAGAGCACAGTGGCTGTAGCTTTCACGCCCACCATTCCACACTGCAGCATGGCCACGCTTATAGGCCTTTCTATCAAAGTCAAGCTCCTTCGATCCCTTCCCCAGCGTTTCAAGGTCAGTTGGAGTCCAGCCTAAAGGTGAAACAACTTCTGAGGAGACAGGGGACATCAGAGTGGAGACTGGAAGGATGCCAACTCGCAGAGACGAACTGCGAGGAAACACCAAACTGATGTGACAAGAATACTGGAAATACTCCAGAAAATAGTGAGGACCGTGGCAGAAAGGGCAGCTGTAGATGGGTTTGATGGAGGCACTGGCAGACCTTTAAATCAATAGCAGCTGACAAAGTCCTTGGGTAGAAGTAGATTGACTGCAGGTGGACCTGTGCCAGAATCAAGAGGATTGGAAGAAAGGGTGGTATGGAGGTGGTGTCTGGAGGGAAGGGATCAAAAAAGGATGAATAAGTGCTCAGGCCCAGGTTGTCTTTCTCCCAGATGGATGTGCACATTACACCCGGGACCCACGCCTCAGAACATGCAGGTTAGTGTGAGCTGATGGGGATGTTGATTCCCCCACCACCACCAGGGCCCCAAACTGTGTGAGACGTCCCCTTTGCCACAACAATTTATAAGGAAAATTAGGACTAGGGTTCGGTCTAAGTGAATAAAAAAAAAAAAAAAAATTGCCAGATACAGCCTAGACCAAACTGGCCTGCTAAGTCTCCTACTTCCCATGAACTTCCCTCCCATATTCCCCAATGTCATTGTGTCAGGCTTCAGGAATACTGGAGGCAGGCTAAGCAGTCCCTGGAGGCATGGGGTATTACTGACAAATAAGATAGGGAGCCCTGGGAAGGTGAAAGGAGAACTTTATTTGGTAGAGGTATAATCTGTACTGAGGCTAGCAACATGGCTAACGTTTCTTTAACCCTATTTTTCTACCTCTCTTTCCTACCTAGTGAACAAACAGCTTGCAGATAAGGAGCGAGTGGCAGCTGCCCTGGAGAATACCCACCTGCTAGAGGTCGTTAATCAGTGTCTGTCAGCCCGATCATGAGCCTGGTTTTTGACCACCAGCCTGCACACAGGTGTCCTGGCCTCAGCTCCACCAAGGAGGGCTTGTGACTTTGTTTTCTTGAATCACTGACAATGAGAAACTAACATTTTGTAATAAACCCTTAATTTATGTTCATTTCCCAGCATGCCTTAGCATCTTTCCTGTTGGAGTCATTCAGGGTTGTGGAGGGGATAGTGATGTCTATGAAGGATGGGCCCATGAGGTGCCCCATCATTTTTGATTTCTCCCAGTGGGGCTGGAAAGGTGGCTCAGCAGTTAAAAACACTACTGCTCTTGCAGAGGACCTGGTTTAGGTTCCTAGCACCTACATAGAGGCCCACAACCATCTGTAACTTCAGTTCCAGGGGATCTAATGGCCTCTTCTGGCCTCTATAGACACAAGGGGCACACACGGTACACATACATTCAGACAAATATTCATATGCATAAAATAAATTAGTAAGTTGGGTGTTGTGGTGTACCCTTTTAGTCCCAGCATTTGGGAGACTGAGACAAGCAGATAATCTGATTTTTGAGGACAGCCTGGTCTAAACAGAGAATTTCAGGATAACTAAAGCTATCTAGAGAGACCCTGGCTCAAAAAAATGAAAATAAATCAATCTATCTCTCTCTGTCTCTCTCTCTCTCTCTCTAGCTCTTCTAGTGCTTCAGTTAGCAAAGTTGCAAATGTAAAACAAATTTTTTTTTTAAGAAATATATAAATATATCTGGATAGCCAAGCCACCAATGGGTTCAACTCAGTAGATTCAGTTGACCTGTTGTGACACTGGCCTTATTTGTATGTATTTATAGAACTATTTCTAGAGGAACCTACAGAAACATCCTAAACTGATATAAGTCTGATGTCTTAGTTTCTTTTCTGTTGCTGTTATAAGACTCCATGGCTAAGGCAACTCAAAAGAAATGTTTATTTTGAGGCTTACTGTTTGAGAGGTCAGAATCCACGATGGCAGTGAAATGACATGGCAGCGAGATCAGCTGAGAGCTCACATCTTAGTCCACAAGTTGGAGTCAGAGAGAGAAGGACATTGGGAATAGTAGGAGTCTTGAAACTTCAGCCTACCTCCAGTGACACACCTCCTCCTCCAAGTCCACTCCTAATTCTTGCCAGTTCCACCTGGAAATGAAGTATTCAGATATATGAGCCTATAGGGGTCATTCTCATTCAAACCACCACAAACAACTGTATAACACAGTTCTTTATCTGCCCCCCCCCAAAATAAAAAGCCTGATCTGAAAATGGTACTGCATGCCTGTTATTCCAGGTCATCCTTAACTACGTAGTAAGTTTAAAGTGAGCTTACATGAGACTGTCTCAAAACAAAACAAAAAAATAATATCCAATATCCAGTCGTATATGCGTTTTCCCAAAGTCTATGTTGTGTCTGGTTCTCTCCAGCTTCTAAGATTTTTCTCTCCCCTTCCCACTGGTAGTCAGTTTTCCATAACTACATACATGAAGTAACTTATAAAGGGAGGAAGTTTGGAGGCTGGGGAGATGGCCAGCAGTTAAGAACATGTACTGTTCTTCCAGAAGGCCTGAGTTTGGTTCCCAGCACCCATATCAGATAGCTCAGAACCACCTGTAACTCCAGTTCCAGAGGATCTAGCACCCTCTTCTTGCCTATACAAGCACTCAACACACCATATGGAAGATAGACACACATGCATACAAATAAAAGAAAAAACATGGGTTTTTGTTTTGTTTTTAGAAGAGAGGCCTACACAGATGATTCAGCAGTTGAAAGTACTTGTTCCTCTTGCAGAGGACCAAGGTTTGATTACTAGCATCCACATGGTGACTCATAAGCATCCATAACTCCAGTTCCAGGGGACCTGAGGCCCTCTTCTGGCTTCTGCAGACACGAGGCATGCCTGTGATGCATAGATATACATGCTGGCAAATTTTTAAAAATAAATCTTAAAAAAAAAAAAAAGATTTGGCTTACTGCTGGTACTGATGTTTTGGGGCCTGTGGTGAAGTGCCACATTGTTACAGAGTATATAGCAGAGAAAAAAAAAAAAAAAAAAAAAAAAAAGGATTAAGACCAGCCAGAGTTACAGTCTGCTTCAAGTAGATCCTGAAGAGCTCCCATTAGACATAACCTCTTTAAAAAAAAAAAAAAAAATCCAGGAGAGTTATTTTAGAGAAGTCCCACCATGAGCTGTTTCCTTGTCCACTGGAAGTTAGTCTAAAGGCCTAACTGAGCTCAGGTTTGAGGGGTTTCCCCAGGAGTGGTCTGTGTAACTTGCAGATAGGATACCTATTTGTCCACTGGTGGTGATACTTAGCCTAGTCCCCAGATCAAAATAGTAATACTCATTTTCTCTACTGAAAGGATCCTGGAGAATCACCATCCATCCTTCCAGGAGTTTGTGTCACCCTAGGTAATGGGTAAGCGAAGTGAACCTCTATAAAAAAGGCTGTGTCTGGGCCTCTGCCTCTTGTTGGCCCTATGCCCAGAGTGCACTTTGTCATCTCAAGAGAGACCACTGGTCTTAGGTCTTAGCCATTTGGAAGCTCTTTCCAGGACTGCCTTGGGATTTTCTGCTTCTGTCTCTGATAGGATGCCCTCCTCTACTGGAGCCCAGACATAATTGTGGGCGATGTCCTAATGGGTCCTCATCAGAGAGCCTGGGCCCTTGAACACTGTCGAATTGTTTGCTTCTTCGTTTGTTTGTTTTGACTCCTTGAGTTAAGGTCTCACTGTTTGTGTGGCCTAGGCTGGCTTTGAACTCACTGTGTACCCCAGGCTGCTTCAGACTTAGTCCTGTGTGCTGGGATTGTACACCTGTGCCACCATGTCCAGCTCAGCAAATCACCTTGCTCCATGTGGTGGTTGCTTTTCTTCCTTATCTACACTTTGAAGGTGAGGAGTGATCTAGGAGAATATCCTAAAGACTCCCAGCTACAGATAAAAATACTGCTCCCTTGGCAAGGGTTGCTGCTTCCTCCAATAGAAAGGCCTAGGCCCATCCCAGACTGCAGCAGCTCCTATTGTTCTCAGTTCATTCTTAGGAGGATGTGATTACCCAAGACAAAGAAGATGGACCATTGGCCCATGTCACTCAGTTTCTCATCTGTTCACATGGGAATAGTCATAGCAATCTGGGGCTGCTCTGTGCACATGGAAACTCCCTTGGCCTATCTCTAATGATCTTCCAGACACATTGGTCCACCGTTTTCACCAGTGAAAGAACTGGTGAGATGGGGTGACCCACCAGGGTGATTAGCCCCAAAGATGCTTCCCAAGCTGTGGACCTCACCACATGTGAACCTCAGCATGTCAAGCCCCATTTGTCTGAAGTGGCCGTGGTATTCATATTCAGCCATATTCAAAGTAGGAAGGTGCTTTTGAGTCACTCTGACTGGCTTTTCTTTGTGGCCAGGCCACTGGAGTGAAAGACATCAAGCTGCTACCATTTCATTCCCTTTGACATTTTTTTAGTTTTTGTGTGTGTGTGTGTGTGTGTGTGTGTGTGTGTGTGTGTTGGCATTTTGCTTGCACATATGTCTGTTAGGGTGTAGGATACCCTGGAACTGGAGTTACAGACAGTTGTGAGCTGCCACGTTGGTACTGGGAATTGAACCCAGGTCCTCAGGAATAACAGCCAGTACTCTTAACAGCTGAGCCATCTTTCTAGCCCCACTTTGACATTATTGAGTCATCAGTGCCTGGCCAGTGGCTGTCTGCAGGACACCACCTGTGAATACTGTACTAGCTCCCAGTGAACTTTCTGGAACCCTGGCTGTGCTATGAAGGCACAGTAGTGGCTGGAGGAGGGTGAAGTTTAAGATCTCTGAGATCTTCCACCACATATATCTAACTGCTATTTCTGGACTGTGATCCCTCAAGCCTCGGTTACTATGTCTACACAATGGGAATAACAAATCACAGCTAAATGAGATTGCCTCAGATATTAGATGACACACAGGAACACACTCAGCTACATTTATTTTCTCCCATCATCCTGCCCTTGACAAAAGGATCTGGCACACATTTACTTAGTATAGCTCAGTGAAATAAATGAAGTCACAGAACAGAGCAGAGGTCCTGAGGCAAGAGGGCTGGAGATGCTGATGATCAGCTGTGTTAGTTCCTTGTCTCATTGCTGTACAAAATACATAACAAGAAACAACTGAGGGAAAGAAGGGTTTGTTTTGGCTTGCAGTTTGAGGATATATCCTGTGGTAAGGAAGACATGGCTTCAAGCATGTGAGGCAGCTGGTCACATTGCACCAACAGTTGGGAAGCCAAGTGAGATGAATGCTGGTGCTCAGGTCACTTTCTCCTTTTTATAGTCTTGGGTCTCAGTCCACAAAATGATGCTACTTGCATTCAAGATGGGCCCTGTCTTCATTCAGTTAACCCTTTCTGAAAACACCTACAGACATGCCCAGAAGTTTCCATGACAATCCTAAATACAGTCAAACTAACAATGGAGATGACCCTCACATCAGCCAAGTGCTCTTTTCAACATTTAGTCACCTGAGAGAGAGGGAAGGGCCCCACAGAGAAGAGATGGGGTTAGGTAACAGAGGAGAGTTATCTGCATTGTCCCTGAGATCTCTGACCTTCCTTGGGACAGAACATCATCCTAGAGTTATTGAAGCAAAAGCAAGAGACAGTCCATGGATTCACTCAACCTGCCCCATCCAACCAAGGGTGATGAGACTATAAAAATGCCTGTTAATATATACCACTTTTGAGCAAATATGCTACTCCATATTTCCATATTGAGCCAATGACCTTATCTACATCATTCTTGGTCTACATCTGAGGAAACAGGCTCATCTGAAACAAATGAACAAAGGTGAAAGTACTAACAGCTGGTTCCAACCTCAGTTTGTTTCTTCTGGGCAGCTGGGAGAGCTGAGAGGACCAGATGGCAGGAGTGTAGCAGGAAATGATCTAAAGGTCATGTCCTGATATTGGATCATGGGCTCCTGGCTATACCTAGGCTTGTGATGATCATCTCTGGCCTGTTGGCATAGCCACAGGAATGCCTGGGGTCTGAGTGGCTCTGTGTGGATGTCGTTGCCTTGGCAAAGAAGATACACTGTTGAGAGGTCAAAAGCTCAGATTACCAAAGGAGAAAGTCATCCCTGTTTC